GCTAAGCAGGACCCAATTTGGAACCGTTTAAGCGCTGTGGAGCGAACATTTCAAATTTTGCATCAGTCTAGTATGCATCCTGCGATGAACACATATTATAAAATCAATTAGATTCATATAAAATTTAAATTCATCCACCTGCAGTGCGATCTGATCTTTCATACTAATTTAATTTTTGACTCAAGTTAGATTCTGAACACCTAAACGGAAGTAGCCGGGGCATGTTCATGATTAGATGAGTCTTGATGATGGATTTTGGCTCAAGTCAAATTTTTCATGCTCCTCGCTTGTATCTGACAAGGCTATCGTACAGTGTTTTCATTTGAATTATTTCCAGATTGATATTTCGATTGTGGAATTAGTGATAGGGGAAATGGATGTAATGTCGGCCTAAATGCTCCTAATTTGGGCCCATACATAAACTCAGCAATCGACTAAATTTTCAATAGTGACCAAAAATATCCATTAGTACAGTCCCAATGACGCGTTTATCTTGATAAAATTGATAAATAGCAGATTTTTAGCGATGAGCCCAATCTTAGATCCATGGGCCAACATTAGAGTCATTTCCCCTACGAGAAATGTTTTTCATTTGTCAGGTCGTAAAATGTGAATTTCTGGGAATTTATTTGTTGCGGTGCGAAAAGAACCGAATCTGCAGAGCTCGTATTAAAATAATTTGTAGGATTATAGTAATTATGTCGTTGCACAAAATTGGCTGAGCTCTAATTATTAATTGGTAACAAATTGATTTATACTGCAACTATGAAATAAGCGCTAGGATCGAAAACATCTTGTTTTTGAACCCGAAAGTGTATGGTACAGTGTGTACAGTGCCATTATACATTTGAGATGGTCAAGTCACGAATGACCTAAAATGTGTTAAAGTGACTAAAAAGCCAAACAAAATCTTGGAATGGGTCACTGGCTCTAAAATAGAGCTATCACCTTACAACTCCAGGGCTAAAATTGCTTGCATTTATCAAAATGTTACATACATGCAGACACATTTCATCCCAAAAAGCAATGCAAATATCCAGTGCATACAAGAATATGGCCTCCTCCCTAAAAAGCTCCATAAAATATCTCATAAATAACTCACATAAATTTTAAAGCATTCATCTATATTTCAATCCTCGAAAAAATAATAATATCCAGAACCGAGAGAAAAAATTCAAGAGTAAATATTGAAGGGTCATCTTGAAATTCGAAATTAAAACATCTTCATCAGTTCCCAAGCAATTAACCACTTCAATAACATATTGTTTGGATTACCAACAAGCACAACAACAAGAACTACTACCAAAAACTCGTTTGCTCATGGCCGTTTAAGTACGCTCCACCCATCATCAAACGACCAAAATCAAATATTTTTCTCGATAGCACACTCGAAAAAGTAGAAAAACGAGGGGTAAGTGAGACATAATGTCAAATTGAACATCAACTGGTGTTTCGTTCAAGGTGAAATCACAAGTGTGATAAACCGGAACCATGTGCTGATCAATAATCTTTCGAAAATGATTAAACGGATTATGTTAAGAAGTGCAAAAAGTTCATTAAAAATGTATTGATGAAAGCAGGCGAATGCAAATATGCTTTTGTTTGAGGCTAAAAGGCTGTTTGATCATAGTCACGCGCATACTAATAGGGAAGATGAGGGTAAAACACTAAATGTTAAGGAAAATTACCATTTAACCCACAAAGTGAATCGAAAATAACGTACAATGCCATCCACACCAAAAAAATAATTTTAATATCACATCAAAGTGGATGCAATTAATCGTGTCAAAAATATTACTTTCCAAAAAGGACAAGATTATCATTATGCTGCTTTTACTGCATTTGTTTATTTTTGAAGTCATAAAAATCACATGAGATTTTCGACATGATTGAAGTGCATCCCCTCCCTTGGCTCAGCTACAAAGCAAGACCATGCTGGAGGTGGCTGGTTTCGATTCCCGGTCCGGTCTTGGAATTTTTCGGGCTGCAAAATTTCTCGACTTCCCAAAGCAATAGAGTATGATTGTACTTGCCACACAATTATACTAATGCAAAAATGGTGCAGTCATCGAAAGCTCTCAATTAATAACTGTGGAAGTGCATGTAGAACACTAAGCTAAGATCACGCAAGAAGCTAATATGCAATAAGCAATAAGCGATAAGCAACAAGCTTGTAATGCAAAGAAACCCGTTTCAGTCGAATTGGTTAAAATTTGACGAAATCAGAACAAAATGAGAAAATTTGCCCTTTTAAATAAAGGTGGTACCATGAAGGTTAATTCAATTTTGAATAGTCTCGCAATATCAAAGGAGCCCTGTAAAGTGGGTAGATCACCTTTTCGTGGTACGTTACGGGATGTAAGATCTACCACCGATTCCTAGTCCTAACTACTTCAAACTAGGGGAACAGGATTTTTCAGTAATCCAAGGAACACATCTTAGTCCTTGTTGATAGTGACAAGACTCGGCATTGTCTACCGAGGATGATCTTGAAACAAGGAAAAAAAATGAGTTAGTTGTCTTCATCTATGTGATTCCTAATCTTCTATTCGTTGTTGCCTAGTATGAAGTGGTTAAGACTGATGCATGGTCATTATCGGTGTCATACCTTAACTTTGTTGCTAAGGAATCCAATTTTGACTGACAAAGGGGCGCGCCTTTGGAGGGTGTTTCAACACTCCGAAGGGTATAAATAGCGGGACCTTTCAATTAGAGTCGGATCCTTGCGATAAATGCAATAGTGGCAACTGTAAAAAAAATCAAATACTTCATCATTTCTCAATAGTGATGGAGTAATAAGACATGCACTAAACTAAGAACACGGGATATACTACAATAGATCAATTTACTGGTCGCAGTAGTGTTAGGTCCCGAACAGAGGAAAAAATAAAAAAGGAGCTTGTAATATTATATACGTGATATTGAGCGCGAATGAGAGCGGAAAATATAAATTTGTTAATGATTATGCCATCACTGCCCTCACTATTATGTTTATCCTGTTCTACGCCCCCAAAGTTAGTACAAATGCTATAATTTATCAATCCGAAACAAACTTTTGGAAACATGACCATTTTTTGTGATTTTTTGGGAGAAAGTCTGACTCGAAAAGACCCTCCAAACAAGTACCAAAAAATTGAGTTTTATTTTATACGAACTTTTGCCCTACACGAACTGTAGCCCACATTACTCTACAGTGCCTTCAACCCGACCATCATCTATTTCATTCCTCAATTTTCTGCTAGTAATTTTTGTAGACCAAGCCGAGAAATGTAAGATTTGTATAAAAAGTATACAGCCTTTGCAATGTTTCACCGCATGAACAAATTCTTAAATAATTTTGGAAGAATTTTTAAATAATTTTATCATTTATGTCAGCAAAACTTTCGAACAAAGTTTGTTTCTCCAAATGCGGCTAGGAAAATCATATCATGAAAGCTTTATCCAAAAATATGAATACTGAAAAAAAAATTGCGTGTGCGCTAAAAACTGGCATTACTTTTGATGCAATAAAACATGCAAAGGATGTAAGATATCCACTCTCACATTTGATGTTCATGTCATTTGCTTTGCGTGTACAATTTTTCAATACCAAGCGCACCTCTAATCCCTAAAGAATGATCTTGTAAAATCACAAATGAAATGCATAGCAAAGAAGTCAAAAACCACGTGTTGCCCAAAACGGGAAGTCACTGTATTTTAAATTAACCATCGTGACTCCCAAGATATCGAAACGGGGCGTTTTTCATCGGAGGGGCGTTTTGTGCCATTTTCCCCTGTTGGCACACGCTTGTAAGATGAATGACGATGTTTGTGATTTTTTTCAGAATATCCAGCTCCAAATTGTTTACTTGAGTGTTATTCATTACATTCAGCGTCCATATCGCATCGAGATTGTGAATACGTGCGTATTTACAAAACAGATCATCCCGGCTGCGCCTTGTTGAAAGAGGGGGAGCTTCTTTCCATGTTTATCTCAAAGCCGGCTACCTACATGGTTGTACAGCTAAGACGGTGTTAGAGAGATCTGATAGACTGGGACTGGGGCTGTGAGCGTGAGTGCGAAAGATCCACGCCGCTGAAAATCAATACATCACCAATTTGGCACGCATTGACGCACGAACTAATTTTTAATGGCACTAGACCTTAGGCTATAAAAATAAATTATCGTACACGTGCAATCATCCGCTTTGATTCTTTCGATGCGATGGTGTTAGAAACATAAACTACATTTGTATCATTTCAAAATGTGTAGAAACCAAGGTAATCTCATAGAAATCGTCGAGGCGCCATAACAAGGCTGCACCTTAAGTATTTGCAATTTGCTGTAACACGAAGGCAATGATATTTCCTGAGTGTGCAGACCAAGCCCAGAAATTTCTCCCCATTCGATATGAGCAACAATAGCAACATTTTATTACCGGGACCCGATCGATGCAACTCAATGCTTAAGCAAATTGACGCACGTTAAATTCTTTCCTCTACCTGAGTGGAACCGAACGTCTTTCTTATCTACCGATTCTAGCGAAAAAAATACAGTCTGATAGCGAATTTGTTGAACCAGTTCCAACCCGTGCGAACCAGAGCTTATTGTCAGTGCGAACCTCAACCCGAGCCAGGTTACAAAAACAAACGTTTACAGTGACTTTTGACAGACAACAAGCCGACCCAATCTTAATACCCGATCCAGCTTGGAACTGAATCAAAAACAAATTCGCTATGAGTTTCATTTCCTTCCGGTCGTCCAAATCGTTTTGCGTCTTTCACCAGCATTAATTTTTACAAAAAAAAGCCGTATCTCTGCAGTTAGAACTCTTTCAGACATTCTAAAAATATACACAAGGTACGTTGACATCGACCGAGTCTAATACATTCATATTACCGTCTGGAAAACCCCACGAAGCGATGTAGAAGAAAAGCACTGTTCGAAGACTACTCGCTCGCATCATGGAGCGACGGCGAACTGCCACTATTTATTATTCTGAATGTGCGAAACCTAACAGGTGACGACAAACGACGATCAGTGTGCACGATCTCGACGAAAGATCAAAGAAGAAGAAGAAGAATATATAAGTGTTATCGCAAACGACGGGAAAGTGCTCCCCAGGACCAAAAATGGTAATCAATCAGCCAAGACAATCCATAGCAAGACTTAGATCGCAGTTCCTGCATCCACACCGCGAGGTAAGTGTCATCGGAAATATCCCACAATGAAAATGCTCACCGTCTTTTGCCACATTGTCAAGCGTGCGGTTCTAGAAATCGGAAAATCACGTGTTCAAATCCCCAATTTGAGTGACATACTTTTAATGAAGACGACACGCTACTGGATGATGAACAAGACAAGACTTATTATGCATACAATATAAACTATGAGGGGGTTACAAGTGACATTGTAATTCCATGATTTCCCTTGATCTGACAGTAGTTTCTTTTGCTGTCAATATGGTTCAATCATGAGACTTTTGTCCCATAACGAGAGTGTGGTTCTGTCGCTATGTGCCCGGCCACGTGACCCAATGGTCAGGGGTTCAAATCCCAAATAATTTTCAGACTACAACTTTTCAAATAATTGTTACCATACCAAAAGTAAGGGTCTCTAAAGTAATTAAGCAGAATAATTTCTACGATGATGACTCTCCAATCACGCGTGAGGGGTGATCTTCCTCGGTGATTATCGCAAAATGTTATACTGAGACTGATGTAGAATCTCTGCCAAAGCAAAGCAAACACTCGTACGTACACTTTTTGTGGGGTGCCCTTTTTTCGTTTCGTATTGGAGCGCTGAACTCACACGAGCTCAGTTGAAAACAGTGCCACAGTTCTTCTTTACCGACCTTATGCCGACAGAAACGCACATATGTTTTGAATTTTCAGGTAGTATTGCAATAAATCTTATAAGAATTAGATGTTTTCTCCTAGAGGCATGAAACTGTCATGCGACTGCGTACAAGTCACGCGAAATGGTACCGTTTTTAGAGCATCTCTCCCGAGTAACTCAATCGTGCTATAAACTTCCACTGACAAACAATGATAACTGTGTGCGTGTTGCTGTAAGTGGAACCATGTCAACACGCACACTGACAGTAACACGAGGAATCACACATACTTCTACATTTCCGTAAATGCAAAATCAAAACAAACACGAAATAAATAATTAAAGCAACAGCAAGCATCACAGTCTCCGTTCCGTTCCGTCGACGGTCGACGTCGTCGATTGAAGTACACCATGAGACGAGACGATGTAAACAAAAACCCATCAGGTTAAATAATGAACATGTAAATTTCTTACGATTCAAAATTCAACATTCGTGTTTTTTTTTTTTTTTTTGTGGTTGTCTTTACAGACGGCTAAGACCATAGTTTGGTCCATCTCGCTTAACATTCGTGTTTTGGCAAAGATTTTATTTTGTTTGCCTCTCGTCTCACCCGCCATCATCGTTATCGCCACCGTAAGGGAGATAGGTATACGTCAATCACTCGCGGCTCGGGCTGATCTTGAAGCTCGATTACGACTGTTTTTTTTACGATCGTTTGTTTCTGTCGTGGGTGGTGGGGAAGTGACACGCACGTTCATTTCCGGCGATGGTGCAATCATGAGGGCCCTTTGGATAATTCTAATACATTATTTTTTGCATTCAAAACTGACACCTTCGACGGTACAGCCGGCATCCAGCACGAAGCAGTAGGAATTCAAAATAACATTTGAGAAACAAGTTTTACCAGTTGGAACCATTCAAGCCCACACACATGGGGCATGGGTGGCACATTTGCAAGAAACAAGAGTTAGACACTATACGTATAACCTATACAAGCACTCCCCTTTTATTTGAATAATGTGCCAGAGAGATCCGAAGAAGTTCTTTGAATGGAGAGATTTTTAGTAAATGTAGGTACCTATGAGAGGCGTTTGTAACTTGTTTTGGACGAGTTTTTTTTTAGTGTTGGAAACATTACCTCATTAGCATCTTCGGTTAGAGTTGTATTCTTTTCATTCATAAATTTGAATGCCACATATTTTTCTGGCTTTTAGTAAAGTCAAATGCCATCGTGTTAATCTGTTATTGAATGAAAAGCGAATTTGAAAAGATTCGTTGGTGGTAAGGTAGATGTGGACATTTTTGTAACCCAGTACACAGTAAAGTGTAATGAATGTTATGTGATGGATGAGCAATGTTAAGTGAGCATTGATGCTGTCAACTTATTAAGCATGTCTTTTTAATTTAGGTTCAAGCCAGTTTAATAGATAATTCTTTTAAAACTCCCGTTAACTAACATATCAGCAGTGCTCATATCGACTGAGTAAAGTATTGATAGCGTTTCTGTTAAAAATTAACAAACATTTTTAACCAATTAATATTACACGACCTTTTGCATGCCGAAGAGTGGGACGGAATCAAAATAGTGGGACATGGCCATTTGCGACGAACCTATTGAGTGTAGTATTTTGATGTCTTATAGAATGTTTCTTCATTTTTCAAGTACTTTTTTGAGCAGTAAAAATTTAAAATTGCATATATGTTTTTACGTCTTTTTAAAATTGATGAACATCTATGAATCATCTTAGTAATCTATCTCTCAAGTGGAAGAATTTATACAAACGGTAGTCCTCCATATAGAAAACGATTTTTACAATAATTTTTTTGTTTTATTTTTTTATTTTTTCAACGTTCTACAAGGTTGTAAGTGCTTTGAAAATGCACATTTTTGAAAAAGGAATCAAATCGCTATCCCTTCGTTTAAAGGATTTAGGCCCATTTTTTAAAATTGTTTTAACGCTATCTTAGTTCATCACCTTATACCCTCCTACTGGTACATATATGTATATATATACAATTCATGGGAGGATCCAAGGGGATGTTTAATAAAATTTCAAATAAAGTACCTCAATGCTTTGTTACGTTTTGCTATTCTCATGGCCATTTTCACAAGTATGTATGTACATTAGGGTGGGTCAACTTGACTGCTCTTTCAATGCATATTAAGATCCCCAACAAAGGTGCAAAATTTGAACGAATTTGGTTATAATCTCGATTTGTGGGCGAATTTCAAATTGAGTATGAGAAAATGTATAGGAAACGGAACGATATTATTCATTTGCTTACTAAAAATCCAAATATTGCTCAAATTTCACCAACTCTCGGACTTAAATTGAGAATACTATATAAAACAAATTTGTCGAAGACTGCTAGGAAGATTAGGCAGAGTAGTGTCTGGTAGCATTAAAATCTATTTTTTTTTTTACTTTGGTACATACAACCTATTCAAAAAGCACTTCAGAGTTTTCAATTTTGAGATTTCTACCGTATGCGTGATAATGTTTGCACCATTGAGCAATGTCAAAATTTAAAAAATTCTCAAAAATTTCGGTTTTCGAGTTTCATTTATTCGAAGGGGGGATGTTTCTCAGAGTCTTAATCTATGTTAATCATCGATCGAGTTTCCACTTGCTGCAATTACGGCCTCCACACGGTTCCGGAATGCACGGCAGGTTCTAATAATGTAGTCTTGATCCATTTCTCTCCAGGTACGGGTCAATGTTTGTCTGAGGCTTGCTGTACTCGGGTGGCGTTTAGAACAGGTCTTGGCCTTCATGACGCGCCATATTGAGTAATCCAGTGGATTAAGATCGGGGCTGGATGGAGGCCACCACCCCTATTCTGTATTTCGTTTCAAACGAAATTCTCATACAAAAAAATATTTTTTTGTATGAGAATTTCGTTCGAAACGAAATACAGAATAGGGGTGCACATATCCTTCGCCCAGAACGGAAGATGTTCCTGCAACCACTTCTGAGTGCGGTTCGAGGTGTGGCACGGAGCCCCATCTTGTTGAAATACAACATTTGGCTTCGGACCGTACTGTTCTTTGATCCACGCAAGAACATACTTACTTAAAATCCCGATGTAGACCTCCGTGTTGACCTTGTCGCCTTCTGGAATGAACATCGGGTCCATTTTTTGCCATCGGAAGCCAGCAATCCAAACACCATAACGCTAGCAGAATGCTTGGTCAGATACACGTTCTTGTGCTCGTCGGCCACGTCTTTTACCGGAAGAGAACTAATATACCGGTCGGTTCTGGAATTTGATACGGGATCGACGGCAAACATGCTCTCTTCGGTGAACATTTTCTTTTATACACAGCCTACTACGGTATGAGCTATAGGCTACGTGCATGCAAAGAAAACCAAGGCATTGTATGCACAGGTGAAAATCCTTATTTGTACGATGGTGCAAACATTATCACGCATACGGTAAGACTATACATTTTTTTCTTTCGAACATTGTGTGGCATGTTCCATGATACTACTTACATGATATCAATCCATAGATAGTTTGAAAGTTTCCAAATCATATAAAAACAGATTGCGTCTATGTTGGTTTCGGTTTCCTTGGTAAAGTTATCAAAAATCACTAAATTTTTTCTTCATAATTCTCTTTAAATTTATTTTTGTAAATCCCTAAAAATTCATTTGGTATACCTTTTAAATTTAGATCCTCAGATTATTTTTCAGAATTTTCTTGAAGCTTGTCTAGGAGTTCTGCTCAGAATTATCTTGGAATTCTCCTTGGAATTTTACACCGTTATAATGATCCCCTGCAATAAATTAGAGCTAGTTTCGGTATCATCACAAAATACTTTTTTAAATTCCCTTAAAATTCATCTAAGAACCTTGAATTATCCTTAAAAATCATTTGGAACTATCCCCAGAAATCGGTTCCCTTGGTATTCTTAAATGGGGTAGATCAAACAGTTATATTACTCCCTAATGCAAAAATACCATACCCGAACGATAACACAAATTGTAGAACTATTTAATATATGGTTTGCATGATATCCTGAACACATCGTTAAGCAAAATAACCATACAAATTTTATTAGGGCTACTTTAAAAATGTACCAGTTTTGTAATATTGACATTTTCACGTCATATTGAAATTACCACAATGTTTAAATTATTACTATCGTTATGCAGTTAAGAGCCTAGATGCCTACCTATCTTGAAGACTGTATGGATTTGTTTTGTTTAATTCATTTAATTTGGTGAGAAATAAAGCTAACGTTCTGTTGCCTTCCAAAGAGTAAAGAGTACATTATTGTTGTTCGATACGATCAGTCGCCAATCGCTGTCGGTCGCTAGTTCTTACCCTTGGAAAAAATCAAATGGTGGAAGTTATGAA